TAAAGAATACTTAGCAAACAAGTGGTTATAGTATTCTTCCCCCGGTAGCAAAGGCACTTACTGAGTAGCGCTGCATGCTTCATCTACTAAAACTACAGTCCACTTTCATCAAACAGTATAGAAATGAGGGAAGAGGGAGACAATGCAGGCAGAGGGAGAAGGAGAGAGGAAGTGAGAGGAGGAGAGAGACCTCATAAAATGGCACAAGATTGTATGTACTGAATGAGTCAGACAAACAATAGATGCTACAGAAACTCAGAGGATCTCACTTTAAACTTGAATGGTACAAAAAGATTTCACAGAGGTAATAGGATTTGAGTTGTGCCATAAAGAATGACTTACGATGGGCAAAGAGAAGGTGGGAGATGATTACGAGAGAGGAATAGCATGAGAAGTGGTTCCGAGGCAGAAAAGCATACATTTCCTTGGGGAAAAGATGACCAGACCACACCAACTGGGGTGAAGTTTTTGTGTCAGGCAATGATATGAAATTGATGTGGGTGGATATAGAAGTTGAGGGACTTGAGTCTCAGGCTAATGACATTTGAGTTTCTCCCACTGGCACCAGGAGCTACCAGGAATTTAAAACTGGAACAACATGATGAAGACAGGGCTTTAAAATGGATTGGCCAGGAAGGAAACTGGGGGCAAGGAGGCCAGGAAGGCATCCATGGCATTGCTGAATGAGGGATGATAAAGCCTGACCCTCCTGGAGGAGGAAAACAGGCAGGAGACATTTTAAAGGAAAAACAGGCAGAATGTGGTGACAGAAAGCAGGGGCGAGTTGGTTACCCATCTCTCTTGTCTTCAGCAGAACAGAGCATTTACTTTGGAGTCTTAAAAGAAAAGAGACTCAGAATTACATCTTTATTCTGAAATGGTGAAACAGGGAATTAAGAACAAGGAGACTGAGACTCTGAATGTGAAGTGCTGACATCCATTTGAAAAGTTTCTTATCAGACCCCAATTTATCTGCTCAAGGGAAGTGGTAACTTTGAGGGTGGGAGGTATCACCATTTTTCGTTGTTAGCTTTTTTGTTCATCAGGTCAAGACCAATGAGAAACATTACCTACTTCTCACATACAACACACACACACACACACACACACACACACACACTCTAAAGCTAGATAAACTTTCCAAGGCCTCAGATATTACTTCAATAAGAGCCTCTTGATGCTAATTACAGAGCTACATCGTTGTTAAATCAACTTTTCAGTAATAATCAGCAGAGTAAAGGATACAGAAGAATACTAAGGTAATAACAGAAGGTAATGATCATGAGACCAACCCTCTTTGTTTTATAGGAAAAACTGAGACCGGGGAAGTTATTTTCCCTTTTAATCGGAAAACAGAACTAGTGCTAAAATCCAGGTCTCCTCCCTTAAGAACAGCATTCTTATTTTCACAGTCCTGTACCTCAGCCTCAGGGATTCCATCCTTCCAGGTAATGCTTAGAAGTCGTGTAGCTGTGTCATCTCTAGCTCTGTATTTCTCTTCTGTTTGTATCATTGAGAAGGAGACACACCAGGAAAGGATCTCCAGGAT